AAGTTAATTATTTATTCTATACATATAAATATATTTTTATAGCAGTATTTATTAATTATTTTTAACATATTTAATTTATTAAATTATATTTTTATTTTTGTAAATTTAAAATAATTACTATTATTAATTATTACATATAAATTATTTTATTTATAAAATATATAAATTTTAAAAATAAATCAAATAGAAAAAATAAAGGTTATTAATTTATTTATATATATTAAAACAATAATTAACATAATAAAGATATATATATATGAAATATTTATTTTTTATATTTTACATAATTTTAATAAAAAAATTATTATTTCTTAGTAAAAATAATTTCTCAGATCTAAATAATAAAAATAAAAATAAATATTTTATAATATTTTTATAATTTTTAATAATTAATAACAAAAATTTTCATAAATTTCAAACCAAAATGAACAAAATTAAATATTTTAAAAAATAACATATTAATATCCTTAATAGTCATTTTATATCCTTAATAGTGATTTTATGTATAAACAGCTAATGTCAAATAGTTGTTTTACCAAATACTTTAATACAAACCGCTAATTGAATCAGTTAGTCAAACTAATTAATTAAATCAGCTAACAGCTAAAAGCTATCGGCTAATTGTCAAACGCACCATAATCTAATTCAATACGTAACACTTAATACGACGGATTATGCTATTTTTTTTCCTATTTATATAATAAAATAATTGTAAAAAACAAAAAATATATATTATTTGATTTATACAATGTATATATCGTGTATCTTCTATATACATATATATTTATTTGTTAAATGTTTATTTTATTTTTTTATTAAAAAATATAAATTTTATTGTATATTATTAATATGTCATAATTATTTTTAATCATTATGGACTAAACTGTTTGGATCGATCTCGGGCTAAGATGGGTCCCATCAATATTAAGATATTAACTCCAGAATTAGTCCATCTAATAACCCAAAACCAAGTTCAGGACTATTTTTTAAACTAATCTTGAATCTAGGCTGGGTTTAAATGGGCCGATACAACTTGAGTTCGGGTCAAATCGGCCCACTGGACAATGTGAAATGTTTTGTTTTGTTTATATTTATAATTTTTTAATTTTTAATTTTTTTAAAAAAATTTTGTTTATATATTATCTTTGGCTCAAAAAATCGTTCAACCCATTATAATCATTAAGCTAAATTGCACAAAATATAATACTGAGTTCACAAAAATGCGCAAAATTTTTCATACTTTTACAACTGTATCAAACTCACTCGTGGTTTCATAAACTTTACGTCTAACCTCTCGACGTCTTTATTTAACGATGTTTGACATGCACACCCTAAAATGCAAATAAGTTCTATAATTTTTATTTTTAAATCCTTGAAATTATAAATATACTCATTATTTTTAGTATTTAACTTAAAAAAACAATAAATATACTCTCAAAGAGTTACTTTTTTCTGGTTTGAAAAGTTTTTTTTTTTTTTTAATGTTTTTTGAAGTTAAATATAAGATAAATGAATATATTTATAAATTTAGAAGTTTAGAAATTAGTATTCTGAAATTCATTCGTAATTTTAACACGTGTGTTATAAAATTTTGGTCCATGAGATTTGTATTGAGACCATTATTGAATCTGTGCACAAATACAAACACATGTATATTATGTGGCCCAATTAAATTTGGCTCTAACCCGTGACCCGGACCCGCGACCCTAACCCGTGACCCGTTTCCCTTGCCAGATTTATCATGAGCCATTGGATTTAGGGATTTATTCATACCCATTGGATTGTCTTTAAACTTACATATATATATATATATATACAAGTAGAGAGAGAGCCGTAATACTCTCACTCTCACTCTAAACTCTTCCGCCTCACTCTACACACTTTTTTCTCTGGGCAATTACAGATTTTTCTCCGACGACTTCCGACGAGCATCCGACGAGCTTCTCTCTCTTGTTTTTTGTGGAGATTAGAGGTGTTTTCAATTCTCTCTGTCTCGATTCGAATTGCAAGGGGTTCGGCATCGAGTTTAGCCTTCTGTTTGTGTGATTCATTTCTCTTTGGCCGCTGTTCTACCATTGCTTTGCTTTTCCTTATTTGTGGGGGCTGTTTTCGGTCTAGGTTGAGGGTCTCGAGCCGATTTGGTTGTGTATGTCGCGTTGTATGTGTGTTTGTGTCGATTTGGAGTTCTTGGGTGATATTGATGCTGAGCCTAAAAACCAAGCTCTAGTTCAAACTTTGTTTTGTATTTTTGTTGATTTTTCTTTAACAAAATTAAGTTTATTCGGCGTTTATTTCATTACAGCGTGTAAGTCAAACACCGTTAATTAAGACCGACCGAGAGAGTTATGAAATCGGGAGTTTGACGCAGTTTTAAAAGTATAAGAGTTTCCACGCAATTTTTGCAAAACCATAGTTGAATTTTGTACAATTTAGCTTAGTATTATTTTATTATATACACATAGATCTTGCGTAGCCTACCACATGAATTAATAAGAAAAAAATATATGTAAAATATAAAAAAACTAAAATCAACATCCGTACACTCTTCAAAAATATATAGTAAGATTTTTTATTTTTTTATACAGAATTAAATCACTGTTCACTTAGTAAATTGTTTTTTTTTTTTTTGTGGTATGAAAAATTGCTAATATAAAAATTAATATTTTGTGATGACTGATTAACTTTTTATGAGTGGATAATGTATATTTATATTTTTTTAATAATATTTAAGTACTGAGAAATAGTAAATGAACATACTTAATATATAAATTATTATCACTTTTTTTCAAGGATAATTTCTAGTTAAAAAATTTTGATTTTTATATTGAAACTTAAAAATAGGGAAAAAAAAGTAATAAACTTGTTGAATTTAAATCGAAATTACCATTAATGGTCCACCTTAATCCGTCCAAATAGAAATTAATAAAAAAAAAAAAAAATAGAACAAAAGACACAAAAATCAACAGTCTAAATGTAATACTTTTACGATATATCAAATAGTCTTATTTTTAAAATAATATTATCTTCATTAATTAAAATTTAGTCAATAATTTTTTGTTTGTCGTGAATTAAATTTATCTCTATTCAATTTCTAGTAAATAATTTTATTCATTCATAATTTTATTACACCTATTTTAATAAATAATAATCAATTTGTTATTACTTTTTCTACTTACAATACTATTTTTTTTATTAACTTCTAAATAATTTCCTCATAATACATTTATCTAAATTCTTATATATCTCATTTTAACATTAAAATATTACTATTAGTTTTTAATTTCGATATCCAACAAAAATTACTTATTAGTTTCCCCGAAGTAAATAGAACCCGAAGTTAAATAAGACATTAGACACAAAGGGTGTGTTTGTTTGAGGATTTGGATTTTGGGTTGGGATTTGAATAGTAAAAATTTTGAATTTGAATAGTTGTATGATGTGATATAAATAAAATTGATGTGATATTTTGAATGTAAAATTGATTTTTAGTATAATATAAAAATAAAAAATAAATATTTGATTTGATGTTTTTGAAGAAAAAATTTTGTGGAAATAGTAGAAATCCCATAAAATCCCTCAAACAAACACATCCAAAGTAAATCTCCTTAGGATAAGAATTGAAGCTGTAATTATATATCCATATGAACTTTTGGACTATTGTATCCATTATTTATTTGAGAATACGATCGATTGATTTATTTTTTAATGTCACATCATCAAAATAGAATGATAGAAAATAATAAGAAAAAAAATACTGCATCAGTTCAAATACAATAGTTTTGTTTACCATTTTTGTCCGTTACAAAACAATAGTCTCATTTTCATAAATAATCATATCACCATAAAACTATCCCTACTTTTTCATTATTATTACTTCCTCCGTCCCACATAATTTGTCCCATTTTCTATTTTTCGTCCGTCCCACGTAACTTGTCCTTTCTATTTCTGGAAATATAATTATGCACTTTAATCGCATTTTAAATTTTAAAATTTATAATTTTCTTAATTTTAATTAAACTATTTACTTATGTTAATTTTAATCTATGATTATTTTTACTAAATAGTAATTATTTTTACTTATACACTTCTTAGTTACTTATTAATTATACTTTACCTAAATTCCCGTATTTACAGTAATAGTTCCATATTTTCTGGGACAGAGGGAGTACATAATTGTCACTGCTTTTTACACTAATATACTCACAAAGACAAAAAAATTATTTATTCTTATTTTTTACCGACTACCAATATAATATCAATATTTTTTAAATTTCGTGTCCAACACAACTAGACTATACTTTTGGATGAATGGAGTAATAAGAAGGCATATTCGAATATCGAAAACCCTTACATATATATATATCATATGATTCATATCAAGTAGTAATTTGTTTGTTTTGTAGCAATTTGGAGCTTTCAATTAAAACACAAAACAATAAACATGCACAATTCGTCGTCGGGATTTTCTCAGCCACGCGCTATTCTTTTGTTCTTTTGGTCGCTTCGATGGACGGTCGAGACTCATTTATATGGTCGCACTTCAGTATTATTACGTTGTGCGACATCACAAAAAATAACGTATTTTGATATTTTTGTATTACAAAATATTGGATTTGAGCAACTATATGGTTGTGATTATTCGTGTAATTATAGCCAATTTACTTTTTCTTTTGTAATTTTTTCCTTCGTCCAATTTATAAGTAATTTATTTATATTTTATAAAATTTTTAAAATAATAATATTTTAATTATAATAGATATTTAAAATTAGTATATAAATATTTTTGCTAACATAATAATAAAGTATAAATATTTCTAAAAAAAATATTTTTAAAATAATTAATTCGGAAAAAAAATAAAATATGCAATAGTAGAACGAGGAATATTATCTTGACACGAGGAACGAACAATGACTTGTGGAGCCCAGGAGACATAAATTTGTGGTTCCATTTCAGTGAAACAGCTGATGGGGTGATGGAATTTCCCGCCACTAATATCTCGCCACGTGTAACAGCGATGGCACACTTTTCGACGAACCGTACATATAGAAGCTGAAGAAGTTCGCCTTTCTGCCGCTCTCCACCAGCGCCACCGTAAACGTCGAAGCTGCGGCCACTGGTGAACCTCCTCCGGTGTGAACTGGACTGAATTGTTTGCGTTGGTACTGTACCATTTGTCTCATGCTTCGTGCTTTATTCATATGTTAGCATTCGAAAATTTTCTTTCGATATCAAGCGTGTAATGATTCAGAGCTACAATCTCAATAATTGCTGTTGGGAGGATGATTTCATTTTAGGAATTCTGAACATTTTTCTTAAGATTTACAGAGTTTCGGAGGTTCTGATTTGTGTTTCTTAGGGTTTCTGTTTTACTGACGCTTATTTGTTAATTTTGTGACTCGTACAGCTATGGCGACCATAACCGCCTCATACTTTGTGTCGCATATACACGGAGGTAGGGCATCATTGGAATCCAAGGCTAATTTTGCACGGGTTGGCCTGAGGAACAATCCGACAACTCACGATGGATTAAGAACACTCAGCAACATTGATCTGCTCCAAATGAGAAGCACTGTGAAAGCCAAGGTAAAACAGAACACCAATGGAAAAATCAAAAAAGTCAGGGCACCTGCAAACGTAGTTGTCTGCGGGATGAGTATATGTTTCGTATCAGCTGAATGTGGTCCGTGGAGTAAAACTGGAGGGCTTGGTGATGTTCTCGCAGGATTGCCTCCAGCCATGGCGGTAGGCATACCTTAATCGATTCAAATTTCAAAGAATATCTTTATACAAATACAAATCATATACATTTGCTTGATATTTTTCCCAGGCAAACGGACACAGGGTGATGTCAGTTTCTCCGCGCTATGATCAGTATAAAGATGCATGGGACACTGGTGTGGTTGTGGAGGTGAGCTTTTTTTTTTTTTTTTTTTTATCTGCTTTTTTCACTATATTGTCTCTATATGTTTAATGGAAAATTTACATGATTGGTGGTCTTAATGCAGGTAAAAGTTGGAGGTAGTATTGAGGTAGTGAGATATTTTCACTGCTACAAGCGTGGAGTCGACCGTGTATTTGTAGATCATCCCATATTCCTGGAGAAGGTAAGTTGATACATTGACAATGTAGACAGTTTTTTTCTTATATATCAGTTTGGTTGTATCAACGATTTTAATTTTGCTCTTTGAAAGGTCTGGGGCAAAACTCAATCGAAGGTTTATGGCCCCAATGCTGGTACTGACTATGATGACAACCAACTTCGATTCAGCTTGTTGTGCCAGGTGACTTTCCATTGAAACTTTTAAGACTCCATTAGTGTCGGCACTATGTGTTATAGCTCATGTATCTTTGGCTTTACCACAATGCTTTTTAAATGGTACTTGGTGTGATCTTGGCACTGTAAATTCACAGGCTGCCTTGGAGGCTCCAAGGGTGTTGAACTTGAACAGCAGCAAATATTTCTCAGGACCATACGGTAGCTTAGTAATTATTCGATTGAAATTGTGCATTATAATACTTGAGAATCATGTGTCTTAGCTGAGTACTTTGTTTAGGTGAGAACATTATATTCGTCGCAAATGATTGGCACACTGCTTTGCTTCCGTGCTACCTAAAGTCTATGTATCAGGCCAGAGGAATCTATATGAATGCGCGGGTAAGAAAAGGAATAATTTATGCTTATGTGGATGCCGCAGAAACAATGTTTTTAATGTGTATTTATCGCCATCTCTTTTAGGTTGCCTTCTGCATCCACAATATTGCCTACCAAGGAAGATTTGCATTCTCAGACTTCCATCTTCTCAACCTGCCCGATAAATTCATAACTTCTTTCGACTTCATTGATGGGTATGGACAAGTGACAAACAATCTTATGTCGTCGTAATAATGATAGCTGCTGATTAAACTTATCAATATCAATTTCAGGTACGACAAACCAGTCAAGGGACGGAAGATTAATTGGATGAGGGCTGCTATAAAAGAGTGTCACAGACTTCTTACAGTGAGCTCTAACTATGCAAAAGAGGTTGTTTCTGGGGATGCGAAAGGAGTCGAATTGTATAGAGAAATCCGGGAGGCTAGCATAACCGGGATTGAGAATGGGATGGACACCCAGGAGTGGAATCCAGCAACTGATAAATACATTGACTTTCACTATGACATCACTACCGTAAGATCCCTTTTCGTTCAGATTTCAGGAAGAGATGTTCTGTTTCCTTATGAATTCGTAACTCCAGGTTATGGATGCCAAGCCTTTATTAAAGGAAGCGCTTCAAGCTGCAGTCGGGTTGCCTGTAGACAGGAACATTCCCGTCATTGGATTTATTGGTAGGCTTGAAGAACAGAAAGGCTCGGATATTCTTGTTGCCGCCATACCCAAGTTTATTTCAATGAACGTGCAGATAATCATCCTCGTAAGTTGTGAATCGATTGATTGTTTCGGCTACGATAACTGCAGATGCTTCGACCAAATGTGTAAAATTTTCTTTTCTCGGTATCAGGGAACTGGAAAGAAGACATTCGAGCAGCAGATCGAACAGCTTGAGGCGCTGTATCCGGACAAAGCAAGAGGAGTGGCCAAATTCAACGTCCCCTTGGCGCATTTGATAACTGCGGGCGCCGATTATATGCTGATCCCGAGTAGATTCGAACCTTGTGGTCTTATTCAGCTACATGCCATGAGATATGGGACGGTAAGTCCTACCCTCGTAATAAAATAAAAAAAAAAATTATTTAATAATTCTTTCTTATTCGATGAATTAATATGCATCTATGAAACTGTGGCTCGACCAGATACCAATCTGTGCTTCAACTGGCGGGCTTGTCGATACAGTGAAGGAAGGCTTCACCGGATTCCACATGGGAGATTTCAACGTCGAGGTAGTAATTAAGCTTCACTACTCAGTCCTTTCCGCAGGCATTCGATCAGAGCCAATACCGGTAACTCTTTTTTAATACTTTGACGAGCAGTGCGCCACGGTGGACCCGGCCGATGTGCTGAAGATAGTTATGGGTGTTGCTAAGGCTCTGGCCATCTACGGTACCCTTGCCATGGCCAAAATGATCAGAAATTGCATGTCGCAGGATCTATCGTGGAAGGTGGTTTCGATGGCCAGCTACATGCATATATATATATATATGTGTGTAACTAGCTTATCGAATGTAGGGAGTAACTAACTCGACATGTTTTGTGTGTTTGTAATAGGGGCCTGCAAAGAAGTGGGAGCTGGTGCTGCTGAGCCTCGGCGTGGCCGGAAGCGAGCCCGGAATCGACGGCGAAGAGATCGCGCCGCAGTCCAAGGAAAATGTGGCAACTCCTTGAAGGTACCTTTCGTCTCTGCAAGTTAAAATAAACTAACCAACCCGCTAACAGAGCTCTAGATGTACGTATGTATGTATGTATGTATGTATGTATTTGTGTGTTCTAAGCTTAGGACATGCATGTAGTTTTGCCTAGTTAATGTTGTTGTAATAAAGCAGCAGCAGAGAATGATTGTTTCATGCGTTGGGGGAAATTGTGGTTTATAAATTATTGCGTTTCTGCTGCAACTCTCTCCACTCGGATATCTATTGAAAAAGTTGTTCCGTGAGACCACAGCAATGAAGATATCGGACTACTCCTCAATAATTTAACTCACTTTTATTGTCTCTCTCCGCCATCTCAACGAGATATTCTTTTTCATTTTATATCCGCAACAAAAAAAAAAAAAAAAAAAGTTCATTTTTATTTTTCATCATTATATATACATTATTAATTATATAATTAATCAATATTAAATTAATAATATTTTTTGTAATATTTTTAATTTATTAAAATTCTAAATAATACTTTTATATATTATTTAATTTTAATTAATTTATTTTTATTATTAAAACTTTATTATCAAAATATATGTTTATATTGTATTTTTATTATTATAACTATTATTTTAATTGATAAAATAAAATAGAGATAATAATTAAAATTTCAAAATTAACAATACAATAGAAATATTTAATGTTAATATTTTTTTTAAAAAAAATTAAAAAATATACTCAACTTTCGTAGAATATAAAATTTTATAATTATAATAAATATCATAAAATAAAATTACAGTAATATATTTAATAAAAAAATATATAAACAAATTATACATATATACCACTATCAGAAAAACGTGATTTGTGTTTGAAAAATTACCTCGGAATCTGTAAAAATACAAATAAAATATATTTTAAAATCAGGTGGATTCGGATAATTAAAATGGCTTTGGAACTTCCGAAACCAAAATAAATGACTTTGAAATTTTCGAGACCAATGTGAAAATATATTTTATTATATTAAATGGCCTCACAATTTCAGATTTTAAATCAAAAATGTATTTTATTATATTCAATTGATTTGGAATTTTCGATACTAAATTAAATATATATTTTATTATATTAAATAGTTTCAAAATTTTCGAAACTAAATTAAATATATACTTTTATTATATTAAATAGCTTTAGAATTTTTGAGACTAAATTAAACATATATTTTATTATATAAAATAGTTTTGAAAATTCCGAAGCAAAATTAAAATTTTATTAAAACCAAAATTCAAATTCAAATTCTCCCTCTTGTTTTCTCTCTCTCTCTCTCTCTCGCTCTTTCTCTCTCTCCTATTTTCTCTTTCTCTAAGTCGCTCACTCTCCATCTCATTCTCTTGTTTTTTCTTTCTCTCTCTCTCAAACCTTTTCTTCTCAGACGAAACCTCCTGCACCCTAACATTCAAACCTCTCCTCCTCCTCTTTTTTTTTTGCCGACGGAGGCAGCGTAAAAGACAGCGACGAAGGAGACAACGGTGGTGGCGGAGACAACTGCGGCTCCTCTTTCTTCTTCTTCTTGTCCGACAGTGACGAAAGAGACAACGGCGGTCACGATGACAGCGGCGGACCGGCGGCGTCAGCGTCAACGCAGCCCTTCCTGATTCTTCTTCTTCTCCGAAAATGGCGGCGGCGGTGACAACGACAATGGCAGGGCATTCTCTTTCTTCTTCTTCTCCTCCTTCGTTTTCTCTCCATCTCCGGCAGCAGGTGCAGCAGCGGCGGGCGGCGGCCGCGGCGGGGGCAGCAGCGATGTGCAGAGCATTCTCTTTCTTCTTCTTCTCCTCGTTTGTTTTCTCTTCGTCTCCGCGGCAGGTGCAGCAGCGGCGGGCGAGGGCGGGGGAGGCTCTTTCTTCTTCTTCTTCTCCTCCTTCGTTTTCTCTCCGGAAACAGTGGCAGCAGCGGCGGGCGGACGGGCAGCAACGGCGGGCAGGGGTGGGTCTTTATATATATTTATTTTTTAAAAAAAATAAAATTAACATTTGCCTTGGAAATTCCAAAGCAATTTGAAATAAATTTATTATATAGCGCGTGCTCTCAAAATATATTCATTTATTTAAAAAAAATTAACAATTATTTCAGAAATTCTGAAGCCTTTGGAAATAGTCTCGGAAAGTCCGAAACAATATAAATGGCAACAAACTTTTCTCTTCGGGTACAATTCCGAGACAATTTCCGAAGCAAAAATTAATTTGCTTTGAAACCCTTTTAAATTCCGAATCATTTTTTCCGAAACTTTATATATTATATATATATATATACACATGTCATGTGTCCTATTTTAATGGGACAAATAACATAAAATGAATATCTTCAAAACGGGTTGGGATCTCCTGTCAGATATATCTCTCTGTCGCCCTTGTCGATCCAATTGGAGGGCGATAGACTTTCCTTGTGGCCCTTGTCGATCCAATTGGAGGGCCATAGACAGATGCATCCTTACTCCTTTTTTATACTTTTTTTTTTTAAAATAAAAATTTAATTTTTATTACAATTTACAAATTTATCCCTAAATTTCAATAGGAGTTTTATTTCTCTTTTAACCCCTAAATTCCAGTACATTTTTTCGAAACAAGGATTCAGTACCCCATCGCCGTGGCTCGGTGCCAGTACGTTACCACAGCTTGCCGACCAGCCCGTCGCCGTCGCTCTCTTCTTCCGGTCATCGTTGAAAAATTTCTCAAGACACTATTCTTACCGTCATGCACTCTCATTTGGTTTTTCATCCTTAGTTACAGTTTTTTTTCCATCCTCTTATACAAAAAAAAAAAGGTAAATTATTATTATTATTATTATTATTGTGCTAAACTATTTTTTGAAAATCATTCATTGCAGTATAAATTTGGAGTTTTTGTCATTTATTTTACTAATTTGAAAATTCGATTTGAAATTTAGTTGTTGTGGATTTATATATGTAGTTGTGTGTGCTTTTGTTTGTAAATCCATTGAAATTTGGCATTTTTTATTTGATTGTGATTTACTTTATAGGTATGGAATTGTATAATTTAGGTTCGCCATCTCAAACAGAGACCGAAACAATTCAAATTGGAATGTTGTTTGATTCAGAGGAAACAACATATCAATACTATCTAAGTTATGCTAAAAATATCGGTTTTGGCATAAAAAGACACAAGATGGATAAAGATAAAAATGGTAAAATCATATCCAGAATTTTAGCTTGTAGTGCTGAAGGAAAACATGAGGAGGATAGGAGAAGTATTAATGTGAAAGCGCCATGACCAATAATAAGATTTGATTGCAAGGCTAGAATAAAAATTTGCTTGAAAGAGAATGAAAAATATCAGGTTGTTGAGTTTATTTCTTTTGCATCTCCTGCAAATTGAGATGGCAGAATGTGTGGGACTTACTTTAAAACTCTCTCATAATCTTATGGTTAAAGAAGCTGGTGGCCGAGACAGCTTAGGATTTATTGAGCAAGACCATAAGAATTATTTACGCTCAAAGAGAACAAAAAATATGAAAATTGGAGATATCGGTGGAGTGCTTGAGTTTTTGCAGGAGATGCAAAAGAAAGATCCGAATACTTCGTATTCAATTCAAGTTGATGAAGATGATATGATAACTAATTTTTTTTGGGCAGACGGCAGAATGAAAGTAGATTACTCTGATTTTGGAGATGTTGTGAGTTTCAACACCACGTATAGAAAGAATAGAGAAATCTGCCCTTTTGCATTGTTTGTCGGTGTCAATCATCATCGACAAACAATAATCTTTGGTGCCTCACTTTTATAAAATGAGACAATCCCTTCATTTGAATGATTGTTTGATACATTCGCAGACACCATGGGTGGAAAAAAGCCTATCACTATTTTGACAGATCATGATCATGCTATGGCGAATGCATTAGATACAAGATGGCCGCCTGAAACTTGCCACAGGTTATGTATTTGGCATATCTATCAAAATGCTGCAATACATTTAAGTGGAGTTTTTGAAAAATATAAAGATTTTGCACATCATTTTGGAAAGTGTATTTATGATTGTGAAGAAGATGATGAATTTATGCGTGAATGGGATAAAATGTTGGAGAAGTATGATATAATGGAGAATGAATGGTTGAAGAGATTGTTTAGAGTAAAAGAAAAATGGGCATTGGTATATGGGCGCCAATTCTTTTGTGCTGATATTACTACGACACAACGTAGTGAAAGTATGAATAGTGTTGTCAAAAGATTTGTGAGTTCCAAGAACCCTTTACGAGTATTTTTTGAACGATTCGAAAATTTAATTGTATCTCACCGATATGAGGAGTTGATTGCTGATTTTAAAGCGCGTACGAGTGCTCTGGTCCTTCCTTTACCTGTTCAACTCTTGAAACATGTTGCAAGTGTGTATACACCTAAAGTTTTTAAGGATTTTCAAAATGAACTAGGGAAAGCTTATGATTGTGCGGTGGTTCTTAGTGACATTTATGAAATAGCAGCAGCTTATCATGTCAGTTATTTGGGAAGGTCAAGGTATCATGTTGTGAACTTTAACTCTTTTGATGATACTGTTTCTTGTAGTTGTAAGAAGTTTGAATTTGGTGGCTTGTTATGTGATCATGCGTTGAAAGTCCTGACAAATAATAATGTTTTTAAGATCCCAAAGCAATATGTGATGAAAAGATGGACAAAATCTGCTAAGAGTGGAGTGGTGTTTTCTTTGGAAGATGGCGTGGATGATCCTAAGAAAATGGCGGGCATTAGGTATAGGGATTTGAATTTGTTTTTCAACAAATTAGTGATAAGAGCTTCAGAATCTAAAGAAACATATGAATTGGCTAAAGAATTATTTGTGAAGACCGCTGAGAAGGTGAATGAATATTTGAGTGAGCGATCATCTGTGAGCGATACTCAAGCAGCTTTAAGGATGAGAGCAGCTCCGGAGAAAGAAGGCAACGTACACGTGAAGGGGATAAAGACAAAAGCAAGAATACGTTCCGGTAAAAAATCAAAAAGTGGGTTGGAAAAGAATTCCAAGAAAAAAAAAAAAACAACCGGAGGTACAAAGAAATTCATTTTAAATTTAAAAAATGCAATAATTTTAGTATTTGTCCTTATATTATTTCACTTGATATTAATATAATTATATTATTTTTTAAATAGTCATCTATAAATGAGACGCGTGTTGAAGGACATGACATTCTATCGAGGCAAGATCAAATAGCCCCGCAATATGTTTACTTTTTTATACTTTATTTTTTTATTTTATTTTTTTAACGTTATGCTTTTTTTTTTTTTTCTAATTTATATTTTTAATTATAGATTGGAACACTTAATTCAAGATCAAACTTGCATTCCCAATGCCCCGATGATTCAAAATATGCTTTGAATTTCACTCAATTACTTGAGGTATTTTTTTTATATAATTCATGTTGTGATTTTATGATTTGAATTATTGTATTTTCGCTCAAGTACTAACACTTACATTTATACAGGTTCAGTCATCCCGTATTCATGGATCTTGTGGCGACATATAATAGGTTTGAATGAAACTTGTTTTGTTGTGCGAAGTTATCAGTTTTATCTTTAGATGGAATGATTTTGCAGATATTTCCAATGCCGATGACACTTTTCTTATATCTTTTGGTTATTTTGTAAGAAAGAGAGATGATGGAACAACATTTCAACTATCAAGCTGAATGATTCTACAACTTGAGTTGTTATTGTTTCGAATCTTGTTTTTGTGTTTTGAGTCTCTGCATTTGTATTGCTAATAAATCTTTCATGCAGACAAATTAAGCTTGCAATTTTTATTTTTTTTTTATTGTTTAATGCTATTATGAGAGTTGATTTTGTATTATTATGAATGAATTTTGAAAACTTAAAAAAAAATTAATGTTTGTAAATTAATATTAACTTGCATATGTACACAGCATAATAATAATAATAATAATAATAATAATAATAATAATAATAATAATAATAATAATAATAATAATACTTCTTAATTCACTACACTTTTGATTGTATCATATTGATTATATAAATAAACAACTAACATATGTAAGCAATATATCTAGTAGTAATACTCTGCATAATTAGGAATTATGTATAAGTATGTATACCAACTGCTACACATAATAAAATCCAATTGAGCTTAATACAATCTAATAGTCGGTCTACATTGCCTTAAAATTATCTATCAGGATTGCATATGTATATATATAGATTATTGACGATATAGTTAATTAATTGATGTGGTCTCTTCTTCTTTAATCTGCATATTTGACCTTCTTTTGAAAACCAATCAAGTCCACTCAATATAGTTTTCCATCATTTGGCATTATTGACATTGTTGAGTCCCAATAGATTATTCGCATGACATGTTGCAACATTTGAATCCAAACACATCCATATTCAAAACACACCTGGTGCAATAACTTCATATATTTCAGAAAGAAATGAATGCATATATAAGCCTTTAGTCCCTGCACAAAGTTAAAGTTTAAATATAAACAAATTTGGACAACATGCAAATATAAGCTTGCACACCTAATTGATGGCAAGTACAAAGCATAAATAATGTCATTCGGTTTAAATTATCAAAAGACATGCAAAATAAAACATAAATATCATTGCAGTTGTAATAATATTCTGAGCTTCATAGGAGCCAAGACTAAAAATAATACATTGAATGAATTTTTTTTAAGTGATGGAGTACTAATATACTTCATTTAACCTAACACCAACACAACAAAATTTTTAATCTCATGCTTCTTCATTTGTTCACCAACATAACAGAGTAAAACAAAATATAAGAAATACTAATTTAATCCCAGAATTCGACCAGCACAAGACTTTATTCTCCATTTCAGTTTTCAACAATTTTTCTTAACACCACCTTAATTTTCATAGTTGTTTCAAGTTTCGGCAATCATAGAACAAACAACACCTTAACTTTCATTTATACATAAAAATTACACTAAAAACGAACTTTAATCATTTACCTCTTCCCAACAGAATAGCTGAAAGATACAGAATATCTTATTCATAAGCCGTGGGTTGTGCCGAGACAAAATGAAGCACTCAAAATCAAACTTATCTCCAAACAATTCAAAAAATTGTATACACAGCCCCTAAAGAACAAAATCTAACCATGTTTAACAAATTATAAACCTGAAATTGAAAAAACAAAATTTAACTCTGTATTCACAAATCATAAACCTAAAATTAAAAAATCTCAAATATATCGATATTAGAATTAACACAAAAAACAATAAAGTTTAAATCCTAAATCAATAAAATTAGATTAAAATTGTAAAAATCGTACCCATCTTTAGCTCGGCAAGACGATTAGAAGATGGCTGGAGGATTTCTGATGGTGGGTGGGTTGGGAAAGAGGAAATATCACCGTGTACTTGGGAGGAGAGGGAATAGAGCAGCAACGGACTGGACAATGATGACGGCGAGAGACTAGGTGGTGAGCGGTGGCGACGGCCTGGTCGGCGATGGAATGGCTGGGTCGTTCAAACAAAAATAAAAATCATATCTGGGGTTTAAAGTGAAATAAAATTGTAAATTAAATTTAGGGGTGAATTTGTAAATTGCAATAAAAATTAAATTTTTATTTAAAAAAATGAAAAAAAAAAAAAAGTAGTAAAGAGGCATCCGTCTGTCACCCCTAATTGGTTCGACACGGGGACAAAAGATGTGTTATATATAATTTTATTTTATTTGGAGAGAAAATCTCTTGTTATTTTATTTTTGTTTTTTTATATATAATTTTTCTAGTTGGCAAGTTCTCCAAAGTGGAGAACTTTTCTCCATTGTAACTGCCCTGAGAGAGATATAATAGCAAGGGGTAAATTCTTCACCAATTTTATAATTCAACCCACTATTAAAAAAGTAAATAAATAAATAAGATTTTATATTATGAAATAAATAAGATTTTATATTATGATATCTAATTTTTATTTTGTAAAAAGTGTCTAAAATCTCACTGTATAATTATACTAATAAATTTTGTAATAATCATAATATAACTATAGTAATGATAACATTTATTTATGACTAATTATCATTCATATTGTATGTATATATTATCTCTATTTTGGTCCTGTACTTCACAGAAAACAGAACATTTTTCATGTATTCGATGACTGAAGGGAAAAAAAAAAAAAGAAAAAAGAATTAAGGTAGATCATAGATGATCCAAATCTATTTGAAAAGAAAATATACAAATAATCTACTAATACTAATTATGTATATGTATAGAAAGATCAATAAAGTTCCAATAAAGTTCCGGAAGATATAACCTATCACTTCGGACTAGAATATACGGAAAATCCTGTCGAGATTGTGGGGTGAACTTGCGATCGTAAAATTATGGGTTCTAAACTTTGTAATTAAACTTAGGCATGGGTGAATTTGTCACTGTAAATTCATGAATTCAAACTTTATAATTAAATTTAAAGATATCACAGCTCAAGATCCAATCCGAATATATATCATTAGATTCGCGACTTATATTGGATTTGGTTATTTTCAAATTTGATTATATTTGAACTTGATCTGGTGTATACTTTATGTGTTCGAAATACCTGAAATATCTTTATGATTCTTTAATACTTTCACCCAACAACTCGAACTCGAGCATGGCGTACATCCAAATTATGTATTTATTTTTAAAAAATTATAATAAAATCATCAAACATTAATAAATCAAATTCAATAAAATATTTATACGATAGAAATTATTATTTTTTAAATATCACAAATATATTGTTATTATATTAATCGAGTCAAGTTTGAACTAGGTCTAACTATCCTTAAACCCTAACTTGATGAACTCACAAAAATTATACTCTTTCGTACGAAATTTAATAAATATTATATTTAATGAGAGTTGGTGATAGTTGATAATTGTCTTAGTATGTAAAAATTATTTTATTTCTATAATGTGTAAAGTTAACCGTAATAATGTAATATTGTTGTAAATAAGTATACATATAAAGATATTTGTAATACATAATGAGGTCCATATATACTACAAAAATATTCTCTTTGTCCCGCGATGGATGAACCCTTTTATTAGGGATACGGTTTTTTAGGTAGTGTAGATTAGTAAATTCTTAATAATAAGTTACGATATTAGTTTATTATTTTTTATATGAATAATATTATTGGTATTTTAAAAAATTTTAAGATTATATCTCGAAAAAATATATGCAATATGGATATCATTTTGTAGATAATAAAATTTTATATAATACAAATATTTTTTTTATTTAACCATAAATTAGTTTATAAAAAATGAGAAGTTTTAAATATAGATAAAAAATTATGTTAATTGAATAGAGAGATAAAAATAAAAGGGTTTTGAGTTCTATGCGTAAGATGTTAGAAGTTTAATTAAATTGATTTATATTTGTTAAATATGTTTAAAATTGATAAAATTGTCAAAAATAGAAAGAGGTCATCTTTTGTGGGACGTACACAAAAAAAAAAAATCATCTGTGACGGAACGGAGGGAGTATATTTTTTATTTAAATAATAAAATACTCCCTCCGTCAACTCATAAAGTATACAATTACTTTTGGCGTGGTGTTTAAAAAATAATAGTATTTTAATTATAGTGGGTAGTTAAAAGTAGTGTAATGACATTTTTGCCTTTGCTTTTTTGGTGTAAAAGTAATGATGTGATGTAAGGTAAGGATATTTATGGAAAAAAAGTAAGGTATTTAATAAAATATTTACTTTATAATTTAACGTCTTAAAATAGAAATATGTATACTTTTTAACTCGACGGAAGAAGTATATTCTTACCGAATATAAGTTAGCTCCACATCCAGTTTCAAATATGTCCAAACTCATTGTCAACCCACTCAAATCATATGTGGATTGCCATTTTTCTTGCAACCCTCGTTACATTTGGAATCATAAAAAAAAATGCTTCACATCAAACTGTATGTATATATAGTTCGGAAATTTTGCACTTGTGCTAGAAAATAAAACTTCATTGGCATCTACAACGTCATTTCATCCTCGTTATCACTCATAGTTTCAAATAAAAAAATACTTAAGGACATCATTTGAGCGCAGAAGCCGGCAAGAACCTCATACAAATCGGCGGCCGGATCTTCGCCAACGCCAAGATCGACGCCGGCAGCGACCACAGCCCCTCGCCGCAAATGAACCCCGACGCCACCGCCGGAACCATCACCCGCGCCGTCGCGGGGCGCACTTTCTGCCACACAAACACCAACAAACTCCCGACGCACATATCGATCGCAAAGTACCCTCCGATCAAAAACGGCACCGCCATCGCCGTCGGGAGCGGCATCCACTTCCCGACCCTCGCCGGCGCCATATCCTTCGCCAAATTAACCGCGACGGCGAACGCGAAAAACCCGTAGCAAAGCTGCAAACAGTGCTGGGGCAGGGCCGAGAAGCCCTGCACCCCAATGATGGCCAAGTTGCGATAAATTATCGCATACGGCGCCTTAAATTCCCCGGCATTGTTCCCGACGTCGAACGCCTTATAAAACAAGAAAAAGCTCAACGGCGAGACGATGCAACCCAACGCCGTCCCGATCGCCTGGCTGAGCAGCATCGCCCGCGGCGACGTCAACGTCAAATGCCCAGTCTTTAAATCTTGCATAAGGATGCACGAGACGTTGATGATCGATTTGAAGAGCCCGCAAGCGGCGAGTGCGGCGATGACGCCGTGCTCCTTCCCCGACATCGCGGCGATCGTGAATAGGCCCACTTTTCCGTAGTTGTACGACATGTTTATGTCGGTCAATCCCGCGCCGTAGGCGTTGCAAAAGGCTAGAGACGGCGCGACTACGTAGGACATGAGTATGAAGTACCATTTGAGCTCGGGTATTATGTGGGGGATCGCTATGGTCGATATTACGGCTAGGAGTAGGTAACCGGTGCCGGCTAGCCACAACGGGATGCTTTCTCTTACAAATACCTCGTCGTTACGCGCGTTGTCTCCGCTCTTGTGTTCGCCCGACGCCTCTGCATTGAGAAACACATTGTCGTCAGCGTCGAATGTAGCTACACGTTGCATGAGATCTCGAAAAAAATATATATATTATCGATGATCATAAGTCGATTTATACTTTCTCAGTCCATTTGTAAAGTTTGTATTTGCGTTTTTTTGTTGATTTTGGAATATTAATTATTATATCAGAATATAGTACAAATTAAATAAAATGGACAAAAATACTTCTATTAGTGTTATAATAGTAATAGAATGGCGTTTATACAAAAAAATAAAATTAAAAAATACAAATATAAGGATATTTTTAATATTAAATGCAATGACGCAAAAAGTAAATATAAATTTATTAAATGAACGGAGAGTATTTGACAATAATTTTTTTATTTTTTTTAAAACGTAAAATGAATGAATTTTGAATTAGTTCTTTATACAGAAATTGCCCGTAGTAATAAATAATGGACATGTACATGAAAGGTACATTAAGTCATTGCTTATGTTAGAGCCCAATTTATAATATAAGGGTTTTTTGATGATTTTTTATGACAAAATTGCTTATAATTTATTTCTACTTTGGAAAGTGGGTATCATAATTTTCTTGTGATTTAAAAATTGTATAAAATTTACTCATATTTTAAAAAATATTGCATATAGTTCACTAAAAATTGTGTGAGATTCTTTCGTATTTTTAAAAAATCTGCATAAAATCCCCTAGAAAAGGGATCTTAATGTAATGTTATGAAAACATGAGAAAATTTCATGCAGTTTTTGAATTAGAGAATGATGCAAACTTTTTAAACTACAGGTGGATTATAAGCATTTTTGCCGTTTTTTATTATGATTTTTCTATAAACATATATAAAATTAAACATCATTTTTTATTAAAAGTATTATATTTGAAATTATATTAATATTAAGTATATTATATCAAATAATTATTATACTTTGAAATTTTATTATTCTCAAACATATACTCTATCCGTCCCAATACAATAGTCTTGTTTATCATTTTTGTCCGTCTCAAAACAATAGTCTCATTTTCATAAATAACCATATCGTCATAAAACTATCCCTGTTTTTTCATTATTATTACGAAATTGCCACTAATTTTTACACTAATATACTCACAAAGGCAAAAAAGTCATTTATCATTACTTTTTACCAACTGCTAATATAATATCATTATTCCTTAAATCTCGTGCCAAACACAACAAACATTATACTTTTGGGACGGAGGGAGTATCAAATTAACATTTTTTTTTTTTTTGGATGTTTTTGATATTTTAGGTTAAAAAATTGTTTAATAAAAAATATATATATTTTTTTTTAAAATTATGTTTAAAACGACAATGGGTTGCAGTATTGATTGGAATTAATCAACACCGATTAATTCTATTATGTATATGATAAAAATAGACACCCCAATATAGACACATGTTATAATTGCTCTCATTCAAGATCACATTATTAACATAATGTGAATGTTAACAGTACATACCGACATTAATCTTAGCACATTTAACATGTTAATACTACACACAATATACTGTAATGATATACACACACTACAAAAAAATAATATATTTATAACGGAATTCCGTCCCTAAAGTTTATGTAACTAACGTAATTCTATTCTCAATTCCGTCTCTGATGTCATTAGTAACGGAAAAAAGTATATTTAAAGACAAAAAAGTTTTGTTACAAAAATAATTTTTTCGTGCAGTGACAACACATATTGTTTTAATTTCAGTCATATATTGCATGTATCATTACCATGCCCTGATTTAGCACCTAACCATATCCGTTTGTAAATATTATATTTTGAGTTAAAAAATAAATATTAAATGTGTCTCGGATCTAATATTATTACGAATATATTTACCTGAATTTTGAGCTTTGGCTGCATTGATCCGACCGCGCATATTAACTGCAGTGACATACAGTATCTTAGCGAAGTTGTAGAGTCCGTCGCCGAGGAGGAGAGCAATGGAGATGAACACCTGCCAAGAAATAGGGAATTCCATGAATAAATCGATTAATCAATAAAAGTTTTATTTATATTTTATAAAACATTACATAGAATCCCGCCAATTAAAATATATTCAAAAATATATTTCATATGTTATCAGTATAAAATAAAAAAAAATATAAGTGTTTAAAAATAAATATAATGCAATTTCTAAACTAAAATTCTTGATTTTGTATTTGAATTTTAAATTCTAATTTAAATAATTGCATTCAATATGATATATTATAAAAAATTGTTTTTATAATAAAAAAAATCTGTCATTTTTTTTTATTTGTCTACTCTGAAAAAGAACAAAGTTAATTTTCAACCAAACTAAGGAAGACCATTAGGCTTTCTTTGTAGCAATTTATTCATTGTCATTTATTTCGAGATATCTCAAAATATTTATAATTTTCTTTAAATTTATACCTTGTTTTTTGTTTTGTTTTATCTTTATAACTATAGGCTTTGTTTAGATAGGGAGTTTCGAAGCTTTTTTGTAAGAGAAAAAATGTATTTGATATGATGTTTTTTTAAAAATAAATAGTACAAAATGAGTTAAAATATATTGTGTAAACAAAGTCTATATCTTTAAAAAGTCATAAAAAAAAGCTAAAAAATAAATTTGAACACAAAAATAAAAATAAAAAAACAAACAAAAATCACTTTTAGCAAAGTTCAAAAGTAAATTTGAAAAGATTTTGTCACAATATCATACTATCTATTAAGTTCCTTTGTTACAATAGATAGTACTCCCTCTGTCCCAGATACTATGTCCACGTTGCCGTTTATGTCCGTCCCACGTACCATGTCACTTTTCTTTCTTGGAAAATGATTACATACTTTAATCTCATTTTAAATTTTTTAATTTTAATTAAACTAATTAGTTATCTTAATCTTAATTTATAATTATTTATATTATAGAATAATTATTTTCACTAATACATTCTTAATTATCTACTAATTACACTTCTCCTAAAATACCGTGTCTATAGTGTAGTAGATAGGGTATCTGGGACGGAGAGAGTATAATTTTAAAATAGATAAAAAAAAAAAAAAAAAAAAAGGAGAAAAAAAGAAAAAGAAATGAACCTTGTAGCCATTAAGGCTCTTCATGCTGGCTTCGGGTATAGTGGAAGGGAACCATTTGCCTTTAAGGTTGGCAATGAGAGGCCACATCATCCCGTAAGAGAGCACTGCTCCAAGAAGCAACGAAAAGTTGACTATGTGGGAGCAGATCATCCCTGTCCCCACGTAAGTCAAGCTAAAGTCAAAATAAAATCTGCAAACCAAAAATCAATCTTAAAGTCCCCAAAAATTGAAATTAATTAAAGAAAGTCAAAAGGTACAAGTAGCGTACGTGTGCTTCCAGGCTTGCAGTCCGAAAGTGGGAAATTGGACGAAACCACAGAGCCCTTCTTTGGCGGCGAAAAACCATTGGAACAAACCCCACACGAAGCTCACACTGAACGACTTCAAGAATCCCCCGACCTGCTTTCTGCACATGCACATGCACATGCACATGCCAAGTATATATATATATATTTAATTAATTAATTATTACATTAATTTTTGGATAAATTAATTAAGATTAATGATATACTACTACTTGGCGAATTTGTCGCCCTTGCTGTGGAAGCCATTGATCAGTACTGCCGTCGCCATTCCGCTTGGGAACGTCAACTTGTAGTCGACTATCAGAACCTGACCCACCCACCCCCAAAAATAAATTAATTATAATTGAAATTGCACTACTGTAAAAACTAGTAAATTAATTTAATTGCACTGTATGTAATAAGTAATTAATTAATTACTACTGCTACTACTAAAGATCCCAATTGCAGGAAGCGTTGACTATATATCTTTTTAATTATGGAGATTTATATAATTCAATCGAGATGGATAACTAGTTTGTGGTCCTTACTTCGCTTAAAATAAATTTCAAACAATACTATATTTTTTTTAATATAATAGCAAAAAATTACCAGTATTTAGTTAGTATGACGTTTTAGAATAAAAATTATCAAAATTTTGAGTTTGTTTAGACAGGGGTTTTGGAAGATTTTGGAAATTTGAAAGTTTGGATAAAATAAAAATTTAGTTTTTGATTTGATTTTTTGTGAGAAATAAAATGCATTTTATGTGATTGATTTTTGAAAAATGGATATTGTTAAATGAATAAAAGTGTGTCCAGTAGAGTAAAGTAGTACTCGTATTACTTACTTTTCGGAGAGGGACGAGGACGAAAAGTCCGATGAAGCAGACGAGGAAGAGGAAAGCAGTCATCCAGCCGAGTGAAGGGTCTTTGACGCTGGAGGCTGTGTTGCCTTCCACGCTCGACCCCCCCGACTGCTCGAACGTCTTCCTGTTCATCCCCAGCAGGTACGATCCAAACCCCCCTGCAAATATTTATATATTTAGAGAGAGAGAGAGAGAGAGATCTAGAGAGAGAGAAAATAAAATGAATGACGTGGCGACCTCCGACGGCGATTCCGTAGCATGCAACGACGCAGGTCTGGATCATGGTGTTCTCCTGCTTGGTGAAGGGGGAAGAAGACATCCCGACCTTCCGGACAACCTTGGACCAGGCCGAGACGAGGATGAACCCCAGCAGCGCCGCCGACACGTTCAGGTTCGGGGTGATCCCCGTTGTCAGATTCAGCTTCATCGCTATCACGCTGAACAGCGACCCGATCACCACGCTCGCAACCACCCCCCTCACCGTTATCTGCTTCTGCCATGGCGCCGACCTCCTCGATTTCCACTCCTCCTCCTCCTCCTCGGACTCCGCTAATATTACTTCATCATCATCGTTATTATTATTATTATTAATCCTCGCCGGCGGTGTCTCCTCCTCCATTTTCCGGTCTGATAATTCTCGGTCTCTCCTGCTCTGGCTCATGGCTCAATTAATTAATTAATTGCAGAGATGGAGAGGGAATTATTAATTAGTGGATAAGAATGAGGAGACACAGTGGAGGGAATGAATTGAATTCTGCCTCGGCTGATGCTGTTGAGGTTGGTAAGAGAGATGACAGAAGGAAGAAGAAGATGAAGATGAAGATGAAGAATGGCACTGTCCAATAATTATATATATATAAAAGAGTTTCGAAGAGTAACAGCCAATGAGTGTAGGTGCAGATGGGGGTGTGCTGTGCTGTCTTTATGATGAATCAAGAAAGGGTTTGTTGGGTTAGTTTTTACTAACCACCTCTTAATGTGGATCCACCTATAATTTACATTGGATTTCTTCATTTTATATTTTTAAATTATATTTGATAATATAAACAATAATAATATTTTTATTCCAAGTAAAAGTATGTATTTTTTTTTTTTGTTCCACTTCAAAATATTTTTACGTGTCTCACTAAAAAATATAATGTAATCATACACTAGTACTAAAATATCTTTAATTTTTATTTAAATTACAAAGATATCATTATACATACAATTATATTTTACATAAAGATAAATTACAAAAATTTTACATTAAAAACTCTTACATATAAACTTTCACTAATATATAAAATATTAATAGTTTTTAATTTTTATTACCAAATTCCAAAAAATCCTTTATAAATAAAACGGAGAGAGTATTTATTTGTACAAATTTTAACATATAACAATATTTTAATTCTAGTAATTAAGTAATTAAAAGTAGTATAAAAATATTTTACTTTTTAATATAAAAATAATAATATAATGATAAATATGTAAGAAAATATGAATATTTATATTAAATAGTAGTCTATAATTATTAACAAAAAAAAACATATATATATTACTATGAGATCGAAGAAAATGATAATATATATATTTGAAGAAGTATTTTATACATTCTTTATCCCAGAAGAAGAGTAATATTTGCGTTTTACACGTATATTTTTAATATTAAAATTATATTAATATATAGTAAAAATAATAAAAAAAAATATAAAAATATCTCTGCTACTATTTGTTTAATATTAAAGTATTAATAATAAATTATAACTTAAAACCAAACAAACTCTTATTTTATATTATTTTTTTAAACCAATTAAAAATCTAAAATATCTTCAAAATATTAAATGCAACCTTAATATCACTTTCTTTATTTAATAAATAAATGCATATATTAAAAACTTCTTTAATATAATTCCTAATAATTGTACTCTCTCTCCTGTCAATTTCAAAAAAACTATTTGAAATTTTGTAGTAAATTAAAAAATTGCAGTATTTTATTGGTCAGTGAAAATATGTAAGAGATTCTAACATTTTTACAAGTAAGGGATCAATTAGAGTGCTGAAGTGGAAAAATCAGCATCCGTAATATATAGAAACAACACAAAGTCTTATTATACACTGCAGATGTTGTGTATACTAATGACAGGTGATGTTGCTTCATAATTATAGCGTCTTGTATAACAGTACGTGGTGTGCTGAAATCAATTAGTATTTGTGTTATATAAAACTATAACATGTGTTATATTTGTGTTGTTGATTTAAGCATTGATTGTGCTGTACAACAGTATATAGTGTGTTTAAATCAAGTATTGATTGTGCTTTATAAGACTATAGCATGCTTTGTTAGTTCATGTGTTGTATTTGTATTATATGAATGCAGACTGTGTGCTACCGATAGTAATACCGTGTATTGTCTGAGAGCACACTGTGTGTTGTGATGTATTATAAGCACAATGCTGAATTTTAAAATTTAGCACAGTAGGCGCCGTCATAAAGTAATTGTATGTGTAATGGTATATTTGTAATTTAAGTAAAAGTTAAAGATATTTTAATATTAATGTATGATTAATTTTCCAAAATAAAAAATAAATATTTTGAAATGGAACTGACGAAATTGATAAAAATAATACTTTAAAATGAAATGAAAGAAGTACATAAGTATATAAGGATTATATATAATACATTTTTGAAAAAAAAAAAAAAAAAGAGTTACGCTAATTGTTTTAACAATTATTTTTTTTCAAAGAAAAAGAAAATCATATAAAATACATATTTTTCTTTAAATTATTACAATAATAATTTATTATTTATATAAATATTACATCCAATATTTATTTATATTATAGGATACTCATTTTTTCTAAAACCAAACGAACCCTTATTTTATATTCATTTTTTTTCAAAACAATTAAAAATCTAATATATCTTCAAAATATTAAATGCAACCTTAATATCTCTTTATTTATTTAATAAATAAATAAATATATTAAAAACTTCTTTTATTAATATAATTCCTAATAATTATACTCCCTTCCGGTTTATTTCAAATTAGTCATTTGAAATTTTTTAGTAGATTAAAAAATAATAATATTTTACTGATTAATAAAAATATATAAGAGGTTTTAATATTTTTGTACCGTATAAAATAAGTGTATGTGTAATGGTATATTTATAATTTAAATAAAAATTTAAATAAATAAAAAATAAATACTTTGAAATTAGATGGAAGAAGTAAATAAATATAGATAAGGATTATATATAGTACTTATTATTTTTTTTTTTTAAAAGTTATCTTAATTGTTTTAACAGTCTTTTCTTTTTTTTTTAAAAAAAATCTTATAAAATACATATTTTTATTTGAATTATTTTATTGATACATATTAAATAAAATTTTACTCTATACATCCCAATTAAATATACTCCCTCCGTCCAATAAAAAAATATGTTTTTTGCACGTTGTTTTATAAATATTAGTATTATATTGGAATATAGTAGGAATAAAGTGGAAATGACTAAAATAACCTTGTGTGATATAAAGGTAATGACATTTGTGTAATATATTTTAAGTTGTAAGGGTATTTGTAATGTTAGATAGATAATACTTTCTTATGGGACGGACTAAAATAGAAAAATTGATATTTTATTATGGGACGGAGAGAGTATTAAAAGTAATTCATGGTGTATATAAATATTAAACTATCCTTTAACTTTTACAAAAATATTCATTTCTTTTAACTTGTAAAATAAAAATATCAAAATTATGTTTAACACTTCCACTAATTAATATAATATTATTATTATTTAATAATAATAATAATAATTGTAAAAATATGTTAATATACTATTTTAATTAAATATCTGACATCATATCCCCAAACATATATAGCCACCCTTTTAAATATTCTCCAAGGCATCACATCGTGTTCTCCTCAATTTTGGCCTTTCCCTAATTAAGGTTTGAGAGAATATATTCATTCATGATTGAGAATTTGGGGATGACTCAATTAATTTAGTGCTTCACTCATAACTACAAGGTCATCTCTTCAAATTCTACCAAAAACATTTTTGATCTGACATAACTGATACTTTCTCTTTCAAGCAAATGTGTGCTCATTTGGTCGGGTACGAGTTTTAATAAAAGTGAATAATAATAATTAATTTATTCTTTTATAGTAAAAAAAAATACAAAAATATAATGATTTTTTACTTAGAAAAAAAACGAGAATATTTTTTTTTATGACAACCCGAAAAAGAAAGTGAGCATATGACAACCTGAAATCAGAATATATATTTGTTATATGTAATTATACAATTTACTATTAAAATATGCACTATATATTATATTAATATTTGTTATTTTTTTTACGAACATCTGTTGACGGGTCAAATAGTATTATATTGATTTGACTCAATTAACACAGTAGCTAAAGCAGTTATTAATATATATATATATAACTTTTCTTTTGAGGATAGAAAAAACAAAAAAAAAATAATAATAATAATAATGTTTTCTACAATCAATATGCAAAGGTTATTTAGCACACATAATTGTAGAGATCAATTAGAATAAATAAATTAATTAAATTGATTGACATTCAAAAACTAATGGGAAGGTTTTCGATCATCTTTCTAAATCAATATAATTATTTTTTCTCTCAAAATATTTAAATTATAAATCTTCTTGTTTAATTATTTAATACTATATTTTACAAGATATATATCAAATATAATTTTTATAATTTAATTTTTTTAAAAAAATAAAATTCAAATACATAATTATCAAAACCTACCAAAAGGCACAAATAATCTTGAAAACGAAACTTGTTTTATGAGTAAGGATAATGTCTATTCAAAGTTGATTAAAAGTTTTATTTTTTTATACACTTTTGTGATTCTAAGACATTTTTTTATTTACTTGATTTAAAGACATTATGTAAGCAAGGAAAAAGTCTATTCAATGTTTATTTTTATTTTTTTTTTAGAATGATTAAAGACATATTCAATTGACCTCATTTAAATACTACATTTGGTCACTTTAAGTGTTATCATTTATTATTTGCTTTAAATGTTGTTTTTAATTAACACCAATATGATTTAAAGGTAAAGGTTCATCAACTTTTTGAATTTATTGACAAAATAATTATTCTCCATTAAAATATTATTCTAAACCATTTTTTTAAAATCTATATTTACTCAAACTATAGAAGAAACAATTCACATTAACCTTGCATTTTTTAAAACTTATTTTAAATTTTATATGTATTTTTTTTTATTTGGTCCAATTAAAAAAAATTTAAAAATTAAAAAAAAAAATTTCACGTATCCGCCAGGTGTCGCTGACCTGGCGGACACGTCACTTTCGGCGAGCCACGCAGGCGTCTCCGGCGCCGGATGACTAAAACAGCGAAATTTTTTCACTTATGGGACTAGTTTGCGACATGCTTCACTTATAGGACTAAAATGATAAAGAGGTCCAGTTACAGGATTAAAAAACCAGTTTACCCAATATATATATATATATATGTTGACTATCCTATGTAGAAATATCATCTATTTAATTATTAGATAAATGAATATTATCATCTAATAATGTTACAAAGGTATTAGAATCGTTAATTCTTGTTAAACTCATAAAGAAAATATTGTTGTGTTTACTAGAACCAATCAACATGATGCTGATTTATTCTCGATACATCAAAATTAAACAAAGAACATAACACATGTTGTGTTAATAGTTAATTGAAACTGTGACGATAGTTCATACTCATAGAATGTTGTGTAAGGACATATTTGTGTGTTAACATCAATGGTATTATATATTATATGGATAATTATTACGTACTATCAGATCATGTGTTATATTTTTATTATATTAATATAAATTACTTCCTCCGTTCCTGTCCAAATGGGTCATATGGAGTTTTGTAGTAAATTAAAAAATAATATTTCTTTCG